CCAGCTGCTTTGCGGGGAAAAGACTCGCAATGAAGAGGGCAGGCATGCTATTGCAATTCTGCTTTCATCCTTTACCAGTTCATACTCTTATCTACTCTTTGTCTTTTAACCTCATCCGTGCTTTTTTCCTATATAATTTCTTAGAGGACACCGCTAAGAATTCTGTCTTTCATACCCAAACCACGCAAATTTTTCTAGAACACTGCTGTTCACTTTGCAAACAGCAGAGTATCGGGGGTCCTACTCAAGTTGGAGCCTATATTCAGTGCACAACCTGTACGGGTCTGTGGTGGTGGTTGTTTTTGTTGTTATGTACCATCAAGTCACCTGTGACTCATTGCAACCCTGTGTACAACAGCTCTGAAGCCGGCCCTGTCCTGTACCAGTCTTACTCTGACACACCTACTCCCATTGCCCAAGTTACTGTATCAATCTATCTCTTCAGGGGTCTTCCTCTCTTGTGCCGTTCACCTTTCTAAGCATGATGTCCTTCTCTGAGGACCAGTCCTTCCTGGCTATGTGCCCAAAGTATGTGAGATGGAACTTCAATATCCTAGCCTTAGTTTCACCCTATCCAAGACGGATCTATTTGTTCTCTTGGTGATCCATGGTATGTTCAAGATTCCTCCAGCACTACAACTCAAAGGCATTGATTCTTCTTCTGTCATCCTTAGGCATTGTCCAGCTATCTGATCCTTAGCAAGTAATTGTGAAGACTATGGCCTGGATCACGTGCACCTTGACCTCTAGACTGACATTGTTGCTTCTCACTGTTCTAGAGAGGACCCTGACAGTAGACTTTCCCAGTTAAATTTGTCTTTTGATTTCCTAACTGTTCATACCAAGAGTGTACAAACAACTCTTGTCCCCTTCAAACAGATGACAAATTTACCGAAAATAGAAGCCTGGTCATATTTCTCCGTATTCCTTTCCAGCTGTTCTGTTGATGGCAAGTTGCCATCACTGGGTGTTTTATACTGTATCATATTGTCAGTGCTCTTGTGGTTTAATCCATGGTGGAGCTGCTAACCCTGAGGCCACACCTCTCTGCTGGTTGAAATCCACTAGTGAGCAGCTCTACAGTAGAAAAATGGGCAAATTCCCTCTCTAGTGATTCATAGCTTCCAAAAACCCTCAGCTGTCCATCGGGTATAATAAATAGGGTCCCACTCTTCAGCAATAAATATACTGACTGACAGACACCCTGGCTCAAGGGACATTTGATGGTGTAGGGAGGAGAGAGGGGTGAACCCTGCAAGTGATGATGACTTAGCAGAGTTCTTAAGGAGATGTCCAAGAAGGAGTGTATAGGGACACTACCTGACTAATGTCCCCAGCAGATGGAGACAGCTAGACGATATAAGTCAAACAGAGGAAAGCCGAAATAGCTCTAACAAGTCTTTTTCTTGCTGACATGAGGATTTGGGAGGAAAATAGGATAAGAGTGGATAGATAATGAATAATTGCACTGGAATAGATGAAGGAAAGAACTGTTTATAAGAAATATATAATTGGGCATTATATGTACAACAATAGCCCAGAATTAGAGGTACATTGCAAAGAGGACTTGGGGGGGGGAGGTAACTGTGCAATAAAGAATAAATAATTTTTTTTTTAAAAAGTGGAGGGAGTGAAGGGAGCTCTGGTGGCCTAGTGGCAAGAAGCTGCACTGCAATTCCAGAGGTATGCGAATCTAATCCACTAGATGCTCTGCTGGAGAAGGAGGGGCAATCTCCTCCTATACCAGTCAGATCTGATTTGACCGTATGCACAAAAAATAATAAAATTTTTAAAAATTAAAAAATGAACTGGGGATGAATAAGGGAGGGAATAGGGGTAAATGTGCAACAATGAATGAATAAAAATCTAACTTTTCTGTAAGCTTTCCTTTAAATCACAATTAAAAGTTTTATGAAAGAAAAGCCGTAGCCTGGATCAGGCATAGGTATCTTAGTCTTCAAGCTGACTTCACTACTCTTAAGTCTTTTGGAGAGGTCCCTGACAGTGGACTTGTCCAGTGCAATAAGACTCCTAATTTCATGATGGCTAATTCCACGGGTGTTGATTGTTTTTCTAAGTAAAATGAATAAAGAGAGAATAAAGAATTTTTTAAAAATTTGTTCTTGCAAGAAAAAAGAACTGAAATGGAATGTAGAAAGACAGAATGGCTTCTGGTGAGGCGTTTGTCTCAGGTCTGAGGACATCAAAATGTGGGACCCAGCACCGGCCCACCACTTAGACAGAGAGGTCTGGGGAAGTGAAAATCGGCCCTAACGTCAAAATCTGCATGTTCGCACTTCAGAGTCACCAGTGCTTGTGATCCTCCATAATGTTTCCAGGGCGGAAGGATGATTCCCATTTCTCGATGAGGTCTCCACGAGTCGCTTGCGCACAGGCTCGCGCGGCAGCAGACTAGGTGCGAACCCAGGGTGGGAGAAGGTGGTGGAAAGCCGGTGCGCCCAGCATCTGGCCGGAGGGACGGAGGACAGGCCGCTGTGGCCTGTGCTCACTGATAGTGACGGCGCTGATGACGGGCCCTGACGGAGCGGCCGGGCCGCGCGCCCCGCAGATTCTGGGGGGCTGCCCTTGGGACAGACGTGGTATCTGGATGGGCACCATGGGCCTCCGGCTGTGCAGCTCTCGGTCGCCGGCCGCTGCGCAGTGTCAGCGACGGCGCGGCGTCCCAGCCCAGGACCAGCAGGTAGCGTGCTGGCAGAAGGGCGCCCCCGAGGCCGGACGCGAACCGGCCACTTTGCCGGAGCCGCCCAGGAGGCAGGGCACGGAGGGTCCGGGCAGAGGCCAGCTGAAGGCCCTCCAGGAGGTCCGCCTGGACGTCGTCCGGCCCAAGACTGCACCCCTGGGCGATCGGCGCCCCCATACCGTGAATGCAGGCCGCAGGCGTCCTGGCACAGCGCCTTGCGTCCCCGTTCTGAAGCTCAGGAGCGAGGAGCGTTGGCTCAAAACCGGGAACATCGGGTTAGAGCCGCGCCACCCGCGCCGTGGCCCAGCCCGGCAGGTGAGCAGCGCGCCTTGAGTCAGGGGGAGGGGTCCAGTCTGGCTCCGCCCCCGAGCCAGCACGTCCCGCCCCTCGCGGCCGCACACTCGGCGATGGGGCGTGGTTCCGAGGCACCCCATCCCCCTATTGGTTGGGCCGCATGCGGGCTCCGCCCCCACGCCTATAAGTGCGGTGCGGCATTGCAGCTAGCGCAGTTCTCACCGAGACCCGTCGCCCCGACTCAACGTGAGACGCACTATCCAGACTCATCATGGTGAGTGCGGCACTGCAGACAGCGCGCCCGCCCCCGTATCTGCCCTCTCCCAGGGGGTCCCCCATTCTCCGCTCTCAGAATCCCTCCAGCGGGCGTTCCAGTTTCCAAGAAAGTGCGAGCATATTTGCACACACTCCCCAACCCCCCCAGTCGGCACCTGGTGACTTTGTCCGAGCGGTGATAGTCACCTTCGGCTGCTGGGAGTGAGGTGTGGGGTAGGGAGGGGTGGCATTTTTCACCCGCAAGAAGCCCTCCTGGTCACCTGCCCCGGCGCCACCAAGCACTGATGGCCTAATCCTCCTGGGGCAGTCACGTGGGCCTGCACCAGGTCTCGGGAAGACCTGCCCAGCACCCAACCCCCACCCCCGCCCCAGGGACACACCACACGCGTGCAGGGCCCCTGGAGGTGGAAAGGGGTCAGGTTACTTAGGCCCGTACCCCGTTTTCCTCCAACTCTCCGCGCATCCCTCCTACCCACTTCGCCCCTAGTGACTCAGCACCCCGCTTCTGAGCCTTGGAGGGGTGGCGGGAACGAGCTAAGGCTTCCGGAGGGGTGCTGGCCTCCAGCTGGAACCCGGTGCGGGGACAAGCAGAGAGACAGCTGGCGCGGAGCGAGAGCGCGGGCCGGGGCCAGGTGGGGGGAGGGAGGAGAGGTGTGACTTGGGGGGGTTGGTATTTATAGCCCGGGAGCGGGGGCCCGAAATTCAACCTCCGCCTGCGGCTGGGAAGGAGCTGGAAAAAATCTAGGGGGAGGGCAGAGGCAAGGCCCAGAGCCGGATGGAGCTCACCCGCCTGGGGCCAGGCTGGTTACCTCTGGGGCCCCACTGCAGGTTCCACTTCCTTTCCTGGGTATTTGGTAACCGTCACCCCGCCATTTCGGGGTTGGGAAAGAAGGCTGCTCGGGTACTGCCCTGGCTTTGCACCACTCTGGCGCGTCAGGGGTTAACTGGATGGCTAGGGACAGAGCCCCAGGCAGCGAGTGGCCCAGTGTCCAAGCCCCTGATGCCCGCTCTGCCCTCTGCGCCCACTAGTTTTCTCCTTGTTATTTCCGCGCGGTCTGACGCGGGGTGGGTGAAGGTGGTGAAGGCGCCCAGCGCGCGGGGGTGGAGGTGGGGAGAGGAGCCAGATGGATTGATCCCCGGAGCCAGATGGGATTTAAAGGTGGGGGAGGGGGCATCCAGTGTGGCCAGTCGATGCCCACTGGAAGCTGAGACACTTATTTTTCTGCAGCCCTGCTGAAAGAAAAGGGAAGAGGGTTATATGAAATAAAATTTGTTCGTCTCAAAGGAATGAAGCAGGTGGAGAGCCTCTGGCTTTAAACTCAGCTCCAGGGAACCCACAGCCCTTTTGTAAGCTGTCTCTGAGCAGCAGGGATCAGGCTGAAAAGTCTTGTCAGCCACTGCAGTGTATGCTTTGCCCTCTGCGTCCTCCTCGAGTGTCCTGTCAATGTGGCAGGGTCATACGGAGCCACAGCTCTCATTTGACTAAGTGTCCCACTGAGACGGAGGCAGAGGGGCTGGCTTGCCCTCCTGGGTACCCTCAGAGGGAGGGTTCTAAGGTGGGGAAGCTGGGCAGGCTGCCAGACTCCTCACCACTGTCCATCCCAAAGTCCCCACTGCTGCCAACTGAGTCATGTTAGCTGGCAGGTGATAGGTAAGAAGGAGATTCAGGGTGAGCACTGTAGATGTGGGACTTAGGCTGTGTCCTCTTTCTTTTCTCCATCAGCGTGAATGCATCTCAGTCCATGTGGGGCAGGCAGGTGTCCAGATGGGCAATGCCTGCTGGGAACTCTACTGTCTCGAACATGGGATTCAGCCTGATGGGCAGATGCCCAGTGACAAAACCATCGGTGGAGGGGACGACTCCTTCACCACCTTCTTCTGTGAAACTGGTGCTGGAAAACACGTACCCCGGGCCGTTTTTGTGGACTTGGAACCCACTGTAATTG